TACTGTATTCCAGCACGAGACAAGAACGGTAGCATTAAGTCATCGGTATACGCAGTCCACAAGAGCAGATGAAAGCAGAAACTTTTTCTCGCCGCAGAAGTGCAGACTATCACTCGGTGTCTTTTGTTCTATGTTTCTATGTAATCTTTCTTGTAAGGAAGGGTTGGCAATTCGGCATCAACGCATTTGTAATTGTCGGGGCGATTGAMTCTTCATCCAGCGCCACGCCCGCTACTTGCTCTTCTTGCAAAATGAGCACAATGACAAAATTGAGCGCGGTTGAAACGYTATCGACGATTCCCGATCTAGATGAGGAYACAAGGCAATTTCACCAATATGCAGCAGCTGCGGTTGATCTATCCTTGGCGCACGTCTCGGCGCAATCTGTACTGTCAGTTGTACGATCTGTCAGAAACTGGGAGACGAATACTCGTCGGAATTATCTGTATCGAATCAATCTTGCGCCAGCGCTGACAGAATCTGGTTCCACTGAGACACTTAGTGAAAGCATGATGCTTCCACCCATTCCTCTGGATCCGTCAGTCCAAATGTTTTTGCCATCTCCGTCAGGACAGAAGACAATAGTTGTTAGAAAAGAGCATCAAAATGATAATGATTGCCAAATAGTTGAAGTTTGGGAAGGATCATTGCTAAAGCGTCGGGTAGAGGTGGGTGGAAAGACATCGCATGGGAATATTATCAACGACCCTGCTGGATTTGGTATGCCGTCATGGAGTCCAGACGAAAAACACTTGTTGTATTCTGCTGAACGACGTCCCCCTAGTACATCCCCCTTCTGGAGCAAMATAAAGGACGATAGAGGAAAACACAAAATTGGAGGACAAAATGTCGAAGGGCAAGGACAGACAGAAAGCTGGGGAGAAACTTACCACAACCAGGAGGCGATTCTAGACCTTTACATCTTGAACCTGTCAACAGGTCAACTGGGCCGCGTTTGGAATGTACCAAAAACTTTCGACCAAGAGACGCCACAGTCATCAGTAAGTGAGAAAGAAAAAGCATCATCAGTCACTTTCGGTCAGGGTGTATGGCATCCAACGGCTTCAAGGATCGCCGTCACTGGATGGTCGGCTGGTCAACCGAAACGCCTTGGAATGGTATATTGTAAAAATCGTGCTAGTCAAATATACGAGATAGATGTTGGATCACTAATAGAGGAGCTTGGAGAAACATCTATCGATGAAAAAGAGGARCAGAAGAAGAACAAGAGCGAAGCGAGCTGCAAATCAGAYGTAAATTACACTCGCATCTCGAGTGATCTGTTCTTTGCTAGATCACCTCGGTATATTGGAGAAAGTTTGGTTTTCCTTAGTAGTTCACATGCCTTCGTATCACACGATGCATGTATGGCACTATATCGTTGGGACAAGGAAGAAGAATCTAGTTTCGTCGTCGTTCCCACCATAGAAAATCCGTCACCAAACGGAGCGAAAGTTTCAGGCTTAGGATTTCCTGGCCTATACCTCAGTCAGCTGCCAATCAATTGCGATATCGATGGTAACTATTTAGTTACAACTACCTTATGGGGATCCTTTCAGCGGGTGATTCGGGTAAATGTAGAGAATGGCGATGTTCACCTGATCCACATCCCTCAAATGAATGAACTTGGAAGCCAGTCTTTGTGCACCGTTAGCGCAAATGGTGACCTAGTTATTTCAGAAGCTTCCTGTGATCAGCCAGCTAGTCTTTGGACGGTKAAAAAACAAGATGTATTACAAGCTAATAAAGCAGACAGTGGTAGAATTGAAGTCGATGCTTATCGCATTACAAGCTTCTTTCCTATTGCTGCTTCAACGTTTTCTGACGTGCAGCCAACAACTGATCTACCGTATGATATGCAGGTCATGTCACTCGAATCCAATTCTATTGATGGAGCACCATCGACTTCTATTCAAGCCTTATTACTCCTTCCTAAGAACAAGGATCAGAAGGTCCCAATGATAGTAGTTCCTCACGGAGGTCCTCACGGCTGTAGTACATCTGCTTTTGCACCTGGAATTGCATWTCTGGCTAGCAAATATGCTGTACTATTACCAAATTATCGAGGTTCGACTGGATTTGGACAGGCACCTCTAAAGTCCCTTTTGACTAGGATCGGGAGAGTTGACGTTGACGATGTTATGTTGTGCACGCGGCATACCATCGAGAATTTTTCCGTCGTCGACAGTAAACGTATCGGGATATGTGGAGGTAGTCACGGTGGTTTCCTCACCGCCCATTGCACGTCGCAATATCCTGAATTTTTCAAAGCAGGTAAGAATGTGATAACGCGTTTTTCTCTTTTTGTTGTTGACAAAATGTGGACCTTGCTCATGCTCGTATCGCAACAATATTTACATTATTCGTCTATACATTTTTTCAAAAGCTGCGATGCGAAACCCTGTGACCAATATTGCTTCAATGATCACCAGTACTGACATCCCTGATTGGTGTTTTGGAGAGGTAATGGGAGAATACGACCAATCCCTTTTCCGTGGTCCTACTTCAGAGCAAATCGTGAAGATGTACGAGAAGTCCCCCATGTCGCTAGTTCACCGAGTGAAGACACCAACATTACTTGCTCTAGGCTCGGTTGATTTGAGAGTACCGCCAAGTCAGGGTTTGGAATGGTATCATAGTTTGCGGTCTCTTGGGGTGCCAACAAAATTGTTGAAGTATCCGCAAGATTGCCACTCCCTGAATCTTGTTACAACAGAGGTTGATCATTGGATGCATATACGCCACTGGTTTGACGAATATTTCCGTTAAAAAATACCGCATTGATAGTTTTGCCTRAGCTCCATGCCCTTGAAATTTACGATTGCGATTTTGTGTATTCAATAGAAATGGTCATCACTAAAATTAAAACACTCCTGCGTTTTCAAAGTGTCGTCAAGTGTTCTTCGCATACAAGCATTTGGAAATCCTTTTTGTTATGGAGAATACCATCTCTCTGGCTTTGGAAAARGGAAGTTAGAACAAATCGATCCACAATTTGTCTCGGAAATATCTATGCAGATCAGATCTTCAAACACACAATTTCGACAAAAATTAYGTTTCGATGTAAGCTGAGTTATTTAATTGCTTGGTGGGGAATTCTTTAGCTGATCCATGGCATTTTTAACATCATCCTCGGACATGTTTTTCATTTGYTCTTGAGCCTGCTGACTAGCCTTCAACATATCTTCTGGAGACATATTCTGCATCATTTGTTTAGCCTGTTCTCTCATTTGTGRATTATCTTTCAGCATGGCTGCTGTTTGTTGCATCATCCTCGGGTCAACCCCCATTGCTTTTAAACGAGCTTCTTGGGCAGGATCCATTTGCTCCATCATRTCCAAGACTGACCCTACTTCGTCGTCTGACAAATTCTTCACACGTTGGTTGACTTCCTCCAACTCCTTGTCGCTCAAATTATCTCCAATCGTGGTTGTCGGGGTTGCGCTGACGGATTTCGCTCCACCTCTTACCTTTTTCTTCGTCGTTTTCTTTCTTGCTTCTTTTCGTGCCTCTGTCATAATGTCTTGTTCGAAATATTCTTGTACCTCSATCCAAACACGCTCAAAGCCTGCGCGATCAACTCTAGTGGCACCCAGAGAACCATCAGCCCAACATTCCTTGAGTTCACTCATCGACAAGTCAAACTCACGGTCTCCTGACAACAGCTGAATAGTAGGAAGAGAATAAAAACCGGTGAATGTGACWCCTCCATCCGTTGGTGGGCTGCTCATAAACTCTGCGACTCGAAACATGGCGTCAATGACATTGCTGTCCGAACTGCTTCCGGGACCAGTAACCATATCGGCATCTTCGTCGTCATCGGCAACTGCATCAACAACATTGGCACTGTTTTGAGCCTTGAGCGTTTCCACAGCAGCATTCATCTGATCTTCAGGAATACTCTGCATGACCTTGTTCGCCTTTTCCAACTCATCRGGTGTCATATTTTTTAGTTGTTCCTGCGCCTTTCTCGATTGCTCCAAAAGCTCATCTGGACTCATCGTCTCCATGACTTTTTGCGCGTTTGCCACCATTGCTGGATTGTCTCGCATCATTTGCATAGTCTTTTTCATCACGTCAGGGTCCATGTTCATTGCTTTCAAAGCATTTTTCTGGATTGGGTTCATATTGTCCATCTCGGCCATCATTTTATCGATGTCTTCGGGCTTGAGATTTTTCATTTGGTCAATGGCCGCGGCACTCATGCTCTTTGCGTATTCGTTTGGATCAAACTTATTCATGAGGAGAGATGCCGACTTCGAAGCGGAGAGGCCGCTTCGTAGCGGTGAAACGAAACCATTGCTGACTGAAAAAGTTGCGAGGAATGCAATAAATGAAAATATTCTGGTCATGGTCGGTGTCGGAATAATTAGAGTCRGAAGATTGTTTACGGTCGGGGTAATAACTAATGTAACGACGACAGAACTATGTCGACTTTTGAATGATTTTCTTGGTCGTTGGCAAGCGTAGTAACAAATATTTGTAAGTTGTTAAGAAGGAATAATTTTGTGCTCCGAGCGTATCAAACAATTTTCTGTTTCTCGGTTACAGAAGGAGATCGATTGCTGATTCGGAGTTCGCAGTGATGCTGATTTGATCCTAGTGGCACATSCATTAATGTACTACCGGTACGATACMAGTTAGAGTAACAAAAGATAAAGATTGCAGAAGAGGAAAGGAATGAATGAATCACGATCGATGACGTTTCAGCGCACAAAAGTGCGCCGTTTCAAGTTTTCGCGCGCAGTACATGAGTATGCCCGAATTGTTTTAAAGATAACCATTTCTAGGATTTTTTCCACTTAACACAGCGTCCACCCGCACAAAAAGGTAATCGCAACGGTTGTTGAAGCTGTCGTATGGCATCAGCTCAATGTAGCAGCTTCGTCATTCAGGACTATGAAGTAGATAACCTTTCTGAAAGTGGAGTCACGTTTAATGTACACATGAGAAAATTTATTCCCGTTCCTTCGTGGTCACGTTTTGGTCAGCATCGAGTCAAGGCCATATCAACGTCGAGAAATCAGTATTTCTTTTCAACCAAAAGGGAAATCCCCAAGCCCGTGTATCCGCGCGCGGCTGTTGCTGCAACTATCCAATGGACTTGCCCAAAGACAAATCTAAACCAYTATTTACTCGTGCAACGGAAAAATCCACCTGACAAGAATAAGTGGTCTTTTCCCGGAGGCAAAATCGAATTGGGAGAGGAGACTTTGTTAGCCGCTAAACGCGAGATTTTGGAAGAAACGCAACTTCGTGGATGCTTGTGGCACAGCGATCCATTCTTGACGACAGATGCAATTGTGGTCGACAATGAAGACAAGAAAGATCTCGCATCCTACGCTTTCCATTATGTTATAGCACATTGTTTTGCCAGAATACCTGCTTGCGAAAGCGATTCAACCCCTACTGTGATAGCTTCTGATGATGCGTTGAATGCAAAGTGGTGGACCGTGGAGAAGTTACACACGATTGACTGCTCGGCACATACCATTAAAGTTATTGAACGGGCTGAAGAATTGAGTAGGTTTGGCGTCCTGTCTGTATAAAGGAGAGCAGATTGCTGCTTTTGATCACTTATGTCACATAAAAATTTTAACCTTTGCATCGGTTTAAGATCTTTCACCTCAGTTAAGATTTTCTGCTACTATGGGGGAAAATGAGCTTTTTGCACTCTGATTATTGTTCTGCTGCTTTGAATTTATTGTGAAGACTTGTGAAGACATCTGATATGCAAATATAAACCTCAAAGAAGCAAACAAGTATGGGACACCTCAACAAATTTTTAGATATTTCTTTATCCACTGAAAAAACATCCCAAAATATTACTATTTTTGATAAGAGACTGGAGCACTCCTTGTCTTTGACTGCTGTGCCTATTGGTACTTTGTTTCTGCTCCTGTTCAAATTGTATAAATAGTACATGTAAATAAGTGCCAAGAAATAGTAGCCATGATCATATGCAAAGAACATGAGGATATCATCATGCAAAAATTAAGTTGACTGCTCCTGTATCCAGCTTTTTGAGGAGCATCTCATCAAACAGTACAGCAGCTTGGAATATTATTAATCTTTTAGATCTCATTTTGAATAAAGTCAAAAGCATAGCTATTACTAGTGATAAGCAGATCTACTAGTAGTTCTTGGGCTGTTGACTCCTCTGTAGTAGTAAAATAATAGTAGTAGTAGTAGTACTAGTACTAGCTAGTAGAAGTAATGCTAGTAGTAGTAGTAGTAGTAGTAGTAGTAGTAGTAGTAGTAGTACAGATTGTGAATAGTGAACAGTAATTTGTTATTGAATAGTCAAGGTGTGTTATTCTGCTGGACTAAATACTTCCAACCTTGGGTAAACTAGTAGTACAAGAAGCCAATGTTTTCTGACTACCAACACAGGGCTGGTGCTACTACTACTAGTACTAGTAGTACTATCTTAAGCACTTGCCCTGTTGAGGCCTTCTTGTTAGCAACAAATACTAGTACCAATCCAATTACTTCCCTTTTGTTCTTTCTCCCAGTGCTAGTAGTTTCCCCCAAACAGTATTTGGGGTGCATCAC